CTCGTTCAATAGGACCCGGGTTCGAATACGGATAGCCACGGACTTTTTTCTTTTCTAAATTGTCTCCTTTCACCTCCTTGAGTGGCGAGGCCTGCAAACTACTCGCACTGCCACGCACAAAAAATAACGTGACTTCCAACAGTGCCAAGATCTAAACGACGAACTTGTTCAATGTCTCAGCAGACTGAACTCTCCTCGACTGTATTTGTTTGTTGGTTCTTTTGCACAATAGGTGACCCCTACAGGTAAAACGTATTTTTTACTTGCAATTCTTAGTATTACTCTGCCCACAATCTTCCACAATGAATGTGACCGCTGCTGTTTTTTATTGAACTTCCAACGTTCTGGCCAAACAGTCCGTCAACGTGGTTTATCCAGGCCGAAGCGTAATTCGCCCTTCGCAAAATTATATCAATGTAATCCACCGGTCAAGTTCTTCAAACGTCCAAATACCGATGCCAACCAGGGAAACGGGTCGCCGGGCCAGCAGTAGTCTCGACAATCGCTGGCCCGGATACAAATCAACTAATGTACATCAATGACGAAATTTCTGGACATCGCTTCCTGGTTGACACAGGAGCGCAAGTTTCTGATATTCCAGCAACAACGCAGGAACGTCATGCAGGCCCTTCGAATACCCCACTCCAGGCGGCGAACGGCACCCCTATTCTAGCCTATGGTGCACGCACTGTATCATTACATATCAACAGCCGCGAATACAGCGCTCGCCTCGAACTTGCTGATGTCAATCATCCGCTCCTTGGAGCTGATTTCCTCCTTGCCCACAAACTCGTCGTCGGCCTTCGCCGTCTACATCTGACAGAGACAGACTCGTACAAATCAAAACAACGAGAGAGCAAGAACTCGCCACGATTGACCACAATTCAAATTAGTTTGGAAAGATTCTCAATGAATTCCCATCTATCTTCCAACCAACATTCTCGTCCAAAAACGTGAAACACTGAGTCAAACACCACATCACAACAACTGCTCCACCAGTTTTTGTCCGAACCAGGAGACTGGCCCCAGATAAACTTGCAGCAACCAAAAAGGAATTTATTTGATTGGAGGAAATAGGAATAATTCGGAAGTCCAACAGCCCATGGACATCGCCATTGCACATGGTGCCTAAATCAGACAATACGTGGTCACCTTGTCGTGATTACCGGCAGCTCAACGAGAAAACAGTTCCCGACCGCTGCCCCGTTAAACATATCCAAGATTTCACAGCTTGTCTACATGGTAAAACCATATTTTCAAAACTAGACCTGGTCCGTAGTCACCACCAAGTTCCTATCCACCTTGATGATATCCCCAAAACAGCTGATATAAATCCATTCGGTTTTTTCGAATTCGTCCGCATGCCGTTTGGTCCCCAAGACGCAGCCCGGGCATTCTAAAGACTGATGGATACAGTTCTACAAGGCATTGATTGGGCCTTCGATTACCTGGACGACATTCTTATTGCGAGCGAGGACACCAATCAACACAAAGAGGATATCCGCCGCCTGCAAGATGCTGGCCTCATCATTCGCCTAGGGAAATGCCTTTTCGGCGTCCAATCCCTGGAATTTCTGTGTCACAGTGTTTTCCAAACAGGGCACTACCCCCTTCTCATCGAAGGTCTAAGCCATCCCAAAATCATCCACGTTGAAAGGTCTTCAAGAGTTCTTGGGGATGATCAACTTTTACCATCGCTTTCTTCCAAATGTAGCTGACATACTCCAACCCCTCAATGCATCCTTGACAGGCACCAATTCTAAGAAAACGTTGCGTTGGACAGACGAGATGACGAAAGCATTCGAATTTAGCAAGAGAGTGCCTTCCAACCCTACATTACTCGTTCATCCAGATCCAAAAGCGAACATTGCCTTGTCTACCGACGGGTCTGACCTAGGCCTTGGAGCAGACTTAGAACAACGCATTGGCAGTCGATGGCAACCTCTCAGATTTTTTTGCCGAAAGTTACGCCCCCATTCGACTAAATACAGTACGTATGACAGGGAGCTCCTCGCCTTGTACCTAGCATGCCGACACTTTAGCTACTACCTTGAAGGAAGAACGTTCACTGCGTACAGTGACCACAAACCCCTGGCTGACATTGTAAAAAAAAGTATCCGACCCACTGTCTGTTCGGCAACAGCGACAACTCACTTTCGTTTCGGAAATTACAACCGATGTACAGCGCATCTCCGGAAAAGACAACATCGTGGCAGATTGTCTATTTCGACCAAAAGTAGAAGCCGCATCGCTGGGTATCAACTACACCGCCATGGCCAAAGCCCAAGACAACTTTGGAAGCATCTAACAAACAAGCCTCCAAATCGTCTCCATGACAACACAGGACAATGGTGCACTGTTCCTTTGCGATATCTCGACAAAAAATCCATTTCCTGTTGTTCCCTCAGGATTCCAAAAATAAGTGTTTTTTTTACACTTTTCACTGTCTGTCACATCCAGGAAGAAAGGCCACCCGAAAATAATCTCTAAAATATTTGTGTAGCAAGGAATGCGGAAAATGATTTATCAATGGACTCGAGAATGTATCCACTATCAACATCAAAGATACAAACACACACAAAAGCATCTCTTGAAAAGCTGAAAGTCACAGAAAAGCGCTTCAGTCACATACATGTGGACCTGGTCCGTCCTCCTCCACCATCAGATGGTTTCACTCATCTTTTCACAATTAATCGACAGTACTACACGCTGACCAGAGATAATACCATTGTGGGACAACACAAGATATATCTTCTGATCAAGGACCCCAGTTCACCTAATCAAAATGGTCTGAAATAGCGGAAAGTTTGGGTGTCAGGTTGCTTAGAACAACTGCACCTCCAATCCAACGGACGTGTGGAACGTTTTTACCGTAGTCTGAAAACATCCCTGAAGGCACACTCCCAGGCCCACAATTAGGATTGATGAGATACCGAGGACCTTACTGGGTCTTCGGACTGCCCCTATAGAGGACAGCAGAGTTTCATCAGACGAACTCGTCTATGGTGAGGCGTTGACTGTCCCAGGTGATTTTATATCCGGCGAGATCCATCCATGGTCAACCCAGCATTTTCCTAATGTTACTGCACCTAAGATTAGCTGTGATTCGTCAAAACTTCTGCCGACTTCTGCACATCGTGTTCCTGGGACGTATGTCCCCAAATCCCTCCAGCAAGCTAAATTCGTTTTCATTAGAAATTATGCCCATCGGGGACCCCTACAACGCCCATATGCCAGTCCTTACAAAGTTCGTCGCCAGGCGATAAGACCCAGGAATCAGAGTTGGCACATGAGAGGATGTCGTACCTACTGACTGTTTGAAACCTGCTCATACTAACATCTTAGATCTCTCGCCACTGGTCATCTCAGGCCAACACGGCCGCCCACCATCAAAGCACCCCCGATCCAGCTGTGCTTTCTTCACCCTTCACGCCTGCAACAAGTACAAGTCGTTCTGGACGTTAGATATGCAGACAGTTGCCATGTCATTGCTAGGGGGGGGGGGGTGTGACGATGCCTGCACACCATACTTCGCACTGCACCCCAAACTGCTCGCACTGCCGAGCACCAAAAAGAGACATGTTTATGACTTGACTTCACTTCCAACAGTACCTACACCAAAGAGTTTACATAACAAGAGGGGCCACTTTTCTCTTTGAGCCAATTAAAAAAGTGTCCTCAAAATTCGGTGGCGCCCTCTTCGCAAAAGCGCACCCTTTGCGAACAGAGTTACTCTACTTGAGTTTAAAATATCAAAGTGAAACTAGCAAGTTTTAAAATAAATTTCGGAAGAACGCTTTTATCAAATGGTTACGCTGACAAAAAACCTCTTCCGGAGGAAAGGGTGATCGTTTTCTTCGTTTAACTTGACTTTAGAATGAAAGGAGAGAGGTCATAAAAAAACAACAACTAAAACTCCACACTGAACGAACCCGAACTGCTGATGAACAGCAGTCGATCTGCGCACGCAAGGAGGTGCTATTCCTATTCTTCTCCTGGAAAAACGAAAGAGAACTTCAAAACAGACTGCAGCGCCATCTGAAGCAAAGAGCGAACTCCCTGCCGACACCTTTTTGGCTGAGTGGCCCATCTTGTTATGTACTATCTTTGCCTATACTAGACGACGAACTCGTTCAATGCCTCAGCAGACTGAACTCTCCTCAACTTCATTTGTTTGTTGTTTCCATGCCACAATTTCTTGCTCTCAAGCAATGTTCTGTTGTCTGCTTTCGTGTCAACTTTCTATCCCCACCCACTCTCCTCCTTTGCCCCCTCCTTTGGGCTCCTGACTCTTTCTGCAGCCTTTCTACTGCTACTTTTTGGCTCCTTACTGCTGGCTTTTAGCCATGCCTTTGATCTTATGGCAGGAAAGATCTACACCTAGCTTCCTCGGACAAGGACAAAAAATCCCGGAGGTCCTGTGTGCAGGTTGCGCACGTTAAAGATTCCTTGGTTGTCTAAAATCGATAAGAGTAGGCTTCTACCCGGGCAAAATTCAAAATTTCTACCAACTGAAAATATTTAATGTGTCCCGTCCGCTCATATGACCGTATGCAGATGCGAGCGCCGTAAAACACTTACCGAAAATAAAAACTTTGACAGCCATTTTCTTGCTAATTTAATTACCTCAAAAACCAGGCAGCCCATACCTCCTTCCTCAATCGCAAATATATATTCATGACAGATGGGTATCTTTTTCTTTAAAAGTAAAACAAAGAACCAAGCTTTATGATTATACTAATAACTCCGTATGCCCAGAAATTGACGAGCGACTAATTTCACCACGTTGAGACACATGCTATATTTATCTTTTTCCCAGTTTCATAACTCAAGGCATCTTCAAGTGTTGGCAAATGACCAGAATGCGCCTCCTCAAAGTGTAAAAAAATGTCTGTCATGACGAGGTGGAATTAGGCGCTCGTCGATTTTTTGGGCATGTGAAGTTGTTGATATCATTTTCAAGCTTGTTTATTTGTCTTGTTTTCGGTGAAAAAAAATGCCCTTGTACCTTGAATAGAAGTAGAGATACCTGCAAGAGATTTCAGAGGTAAAATAGGTGAAAACATGATTGCCAATGTCTAATGACATATAAAGCTTGAGAGTCACTGAAAACTGCAAAGTTATACTTTCCATGCCTTTAATCAACATTTTAGATGAACAAAAAGATGCTCAACCAAAAAGAAAAAAACCCACACAAAAATGAGGTAGAAATTTCAAAACGGGAGGAAAAATATCAGTTTCTTTCATTTATTATTCTTGCGAGCGCCTGTTTCACCACGGTGCCTCCCATTTTGTGTAAGCCGCAAGGGTTTTCTCGCAGTGCTTATCGATTTTTAGGCCCCGGCACGACCAAGTGACCACTGCCTGTATCGACCACTCTTGTCGCGTCACTGACGCTTTATACATTACCAGGAGGTGTCACCTATTGGTCAGTGTGGATGAACTCAGTGTTGAGAGACACAGCGTAAATGGACATTAAGACAAGATGACATAGTGGTCATTGAAGAGGGACACAGTGTAGATAGATAGTGCGCAAATTGGCACAGTGAGATAAGAAACAGTGGCAGATGTGGATGGACACAGTGAGATGTAAGGGCACAGCGGTCAGTTCAGATGGTCTCAGTTAGACATGATGTAGTGGTGATCAGCTTGAATGGACACAGTGAGACATATGACACAGTGATCAGTGTAAATGTGATGACACAGTGGTCAGTGCAGATGGATACCATGTAGATGGACACAGTGAGACATAATGACACAGTTGTCAGTGCAGGTAGACACACTATAGATGGACACCGCGCAGTGGAACTAAAGTGAGATGATAAACCAGTGGTCAGTGTAGATGGACATAATGAGATATGATAGATCAGTGGTGTGTGCAAATGGACACAGAGAGACATGATGGTGCAGTGATCAATGTAGATAGACACAGTGTAGATGAACATAGCCTCGAGGAACACAGTTTAAATGGACACAGAGACACATGATGGACTACCGGTCAGTGTACATGGACACAGGGCAATGGGACAAAGTGAGGCACGATGATGCAGAGGTCAGTGTAGATACACATTGAGAGACATAATGTCATAGCGGTCAGCGTAGATGGACACAGCGTAGAAAGACGCAATTGAGGCATAATGAAAAAGTTGTCAACATGATGCGAAAAAAACGTGCAAGGATCACAATATACGTCTTTCAGTGCTCGTTTTACATACTTCGTAAAGTGACTTGATCTTCTGCGTGCGGGCTTCGACGTTCTACATGTAAGTGTATTCTAGAATACGATAAGATAAGATAAGAAACTTCTTTATTGTCCAGTTCCTGGCACATTGGTTTGGTGTTTCACCGCATACACACATACACACAAAAGGTAATATTTGTCGAGTGTCTCGGTATTTCTGCTGGGATTTGTATCTCTCTTAGCCCAAACTGACATGAACTGACAGGGTCGCCTCCTAAATTAAATGATCTAAATCGTTTCGATGAGGAAGTAACATATTATTTACATTTTTTTAAAACACCGAACATCAAAACCTGAGATTTCACCCAACAAAATGTTTATTTATTTAATGTCGAAAGAACAAAGACAGGTTTTTGTTTGATTTTGTTTTTGTTTAGGTTTTTTTTTGTCAAGTTGTTTTTTCTTGGGTTTATCAAGCATTCGGTTACTTTGTGGTTCCAGGATACAAATTTAAGAAAAAGTGGACCACTTCGAGGAAAAAGTATCTGTTACACTTAGATAGTATGTGTGAAGTATGTGTGAGTAGGTGCAGGAGGCCTTAAATTGAAACCCTATCTGTAAGCCCAGCTGGGGTCATTGTGTTCCCCCGGGGTTGTATTCTTCACATTTTAGAACACTTCTAGTACGAAGATCTCTTTGAAACTTTCAGTATTTCTCAAAAAATCATTTTGACAGACTGTTATGCAAAGCGTACGGATCGGATTAAGAAGTAAATTTCCTCTTTGGAAAGCGGTAGCACAGAGTTCCTCACGTGGTATGGATACGGTAGTAAAACACGACGTACGGATAGGGTTGAATGGTGTTTAGGTAGTTATTTGTAGTTTTCTTTAGTTGGTGTTTTGATTTGTGTGTGATTTTGCAGGTGTTTTCACACCCATATCGACACAAAACAAAGTGACCGAGTTGATGTCCATGCATAGACTTTTATTATCATATTTTATACTCTGCAATCTGACGTCGTTCTACTTCTCCAGGGAGTGCAACAAAGTTCTATCTGCCCAGTACCTAATTTTGATAAATTTGAAGTAAAAAGAAAATGTAAGTTTCACAATATGTCAAGCGTTTTCGAATGCACTTCACTGAATATCTTGATAACGACTGCGAGTAGTCTTAATATTTTGATAGTGCAGTAAAACATTTTTGGTTTCTGACCTCATGGTCTTAGAATACAGCCAAAAATGTCAGATAGAACTTGGTAATTCTAAGGTACCGACTTGACTCAAAATTGGAGCTCAGACTATAACAGGTGGCTCTCGTGGCCTAGAGGTTAAGGTGTTGGCCTCTCATTCAAAGGTCCCGGGTTCGAATCCGGGTAGCGATCGAAAAAATTTCTTCTCTAAAACTGTCTCCTTTCACCTCCTTTCCTGCTCTCTAGCAATATTCTGTCGTCTGCTTTCGTCTCCTCTTTCTGCCCCCACCCCCCTCATCTCCTTTGCCCCTCCTCTGGGCTCATGAGTCTTTCTGCAGCCATTCTACTGCTACTCCTTGACTTCTTCTCACAGCTGTCTTTCTGCCATACCCCTGATCTTCTGGTAGGAAAGATCTACACCTAGCCTTCTCGGACAAGGGCGAAAAATCCCGGAGGGCCCGTGTGCAAGTTACGCACGTTAAAGATCCCTTGGTGGTCTAAAATCGAAACGAGTAGGCTTCAGCCTTCACCCGGGCAAAAATTCAAAATTTTCAACCAACTAAAAGTATTAGGTGTGTACCGCGCGCTCATATTATGACCTTATGCAATTGCGAGCGCCGTAAAACACTTACCAAAAAAAAAAAAAAAAAAAAAAAAAAAGACTAAAACAGCACCTTCAAATGGATGGCTGGTGCCTCTGTAATTACGTTTTTGACGGTCTGGTCAATTTGGAAGGATGAGAAGGAAAAAAGAGGAAAAGGTTTCGTGGACACTCGTGTAGAAAAGGGAGAATAGTGTTCTGCCCATCATTTGAGCGCCCGCGGTGCACACGCTTCAGCAGAGAAGCTTTTGGAGAGAAAAAAACAACAACAAAAAACAAACAAAAAAGGCGGTATCAATAGAGCAGTCAAGGACATGATATTTTTTTTAAAGTACAGTAAGAGTATATGCAGTTTTTACAATTTCACTGGAGAGTCAAGGAATGAATGTTGTTACTAAGAAAATAAACATTTTTGTAAATATTCCAAGTGAACATTTAAAAAAAAAAAAAAACAATTTGGATAATGACTTTCCCCTTATCTCTGAAGCAAAAACTGTTGTTTCCTTGGTAACAATAATCAGTTGTCATTTTCTGTTTGTTTTGGGGTTTTGTGGGAGGGGGGATTGGGGAAGGAGTGGTTGTTTTGTTTTGTTTTGTTGTTTTTTTCTATTTGGCTCTCGCGTAAAATTGTAAAAACTGCATAATATACTTCACTTTAAAAAAAGACGGCAGAATTCAAGTTTATGGATCCATACAACTGTCCAGTGTTGTTGCGGTAGGTGCCTCTCTTTTCCTGTGGTCACAATCCCGTTGTGAAACAGTTTTGGTTTGTTTGTTTTTTTGTTTTTTTTTCGGGGGG